CGATCTTCCACAAAATTCGAATCCTTAAATTTGTTATCAAGAAACTTGCGCCCCCATAACCCTCCCATGTGTGCGCCACTGACGTTAGCCAGCATGCATATTTTCTAGAAAGAACAATCACACGAATGAAAATTGTTACATGTTCATTATTTACAAACGCTGTTTAACATACCTACAAATTGAATGGAAAAAAGAGAAATTTGCCTCTCCTTGTTCTTTTCAATGCTCTGATATAGTTTCGAGCGATTTTGCCAGTAATGCTTTTACCTGGCGCTGATGAATTTGATAAAAACAAAATGTTATTAAAAGTTTTGCAGTTAAATAACCGCGATGACGCAATAGATAGTATTTGTATTGGGCTTTTCAGAAATTGAGAATTTCGTAAAAATTACGCAATCAAGTAAGTGTTCCTGTGACAAGCCTATCTAATGTGATCTACAAAAACGTATTTTTTTTTGGAATTAATTTAAACACCAACGTTTATTCTATTTAAAACACCACAGTAAAACGGAGTTAAGCTTTTGTTTTTGCAGAGGTCTAATACTAATTCACCACGAAGAATAGGCAAAGACAACAGGAGAGTGGTTGTTTAGCGCTTTTGCTTACATTTAGAAGAAATGTAATTATACATTTATACAGACTTAGTTTCGCGTCACAATTATCAACTTTAAAGTCAACACTTTTTGTTAAAATTGTGTAAATTTGTGGAATATAATTGCTTCAACATTTACTTAAATGATCCAAGAAATCTTCAGAAAAACTCGGACTAGAGGGGACTCACTTGGAATCCAATCGGCGTTCTGGATCACAAACCTGGTGAAAACCCTTTTGCGTATTTCATTCTTACAAGCTAGTAATATTGGTGGAATGGCAGTCCCTTCGACATAAGCTCGAGTGCAAAGTAGGATGAAATGGTGGAAACACCTTCTTCAGTCTTCTCTTAAAGATGCAGATGAGACAAACGAATTGAACACAGGAGAAGTGAAAGATCATCCGTGGAATATTGCAACTCCAGCATTTTCGTAAGTGAACCAGGGAATTTTCAGAGAAACTTAGAAGTGTGGACGTACTGGAATCCAATCGGCGTTCTGGACCACAGGTCCGATGAAAAACCTTTTGTGTATTTCTCATAAGCTAGTAATGTTAGTTGAATGACAGTCCCTCGGACCCCCTAAACTCTGTGCAAAATAGGATGAAATGATTGGAAGATCCTCTTTAGTCTCTTAAGAATCGTGGGGCTGAGTGAGTGGTAATTGGGGAGATGTAGATGGAAAGAACGAAATGAAAACTGAGGTGAAGTGAAAGATTATCCAACATTTTCCTAAGTGAACCAAAGGAATCCTCAGAAAATCTTGGACAATAGGGGGCGTTTTGAGAATCCAGTAGGTGTTCATGTCCAGCTTCGATTAGAAAACTTTTGGGTATTTAATTCTTGTCGGCTAGTAATGCTACTGAGTAGAGAATCGGAGGATAGGGAGGAGACTCTCTTCAGACATCAGACGGATGAATAGTGGTTATGGAGAAGAAGATGAGACGCAAGAAATGAAGACGGAAGGAAAGTGAAATACTATATGTGGCATATTGCAGCTCCAACATTTTCCTAAGTGAACCAAAGGAATCCCTAGAAAAACATCTTCAACTAGAAAACTTTTGAATATTTAATTCTTGTCAGCTAATAATGCTGCTGAGTAGAGAATCACTTCGTTCTACCCTCTAATGCAATACCAAAGGATAGGGAAGAGACTCTCTTCAGACTTCTTTTTGGAATCGTGAGGACGGATGAGTGGTGGTTATGGAAAAGAAGATAAGACGCTAGAAATGAAGGCGGAAGAGAAGTGAAAGATTAATGTGGAGCATTACTTCTTCAGTATTTATCTAAATGATTCAAGAAAACAAAACTTGGGCAAACTAGCTAGTAATAGTCGTGCGTTGCCAGTCCCACTAATCTACACTCTAGTGTAAAACCGAAGGATGAAGAGGAAGACCCTCTTCAGCGTTCTTTTAGGAATTGTGCAGATAGGTAGGTGGTGGTGTGAAGCAGTTGATACAAACGAAATTAGGATAAAGAAGAGGTGATAGACTACCTGTGAAAGATTATTGCTCCAGAATGTGCCTAAATGATCCAAGAAAACCACAAAACAAAACTTGGACTAAGGAAGCGTGATGGAATCGGCGTCCACTCGAACGCTATGCTATGGTATGACCTATAGAGATATAGACCGATATAGGATAGATCACGTCGCTCGATATACATTTTTACAAAAACTACCTAATTTATCGAGTCCGCTATTATGCACAAGAAGGTGTGGCACAATCATCACTCCCATCACTCTCACTGACGCTAGAACCATCTGCACCAAGTACCTAATAGATGTAACAGTTTTGCATATTAATATCTACTTGGTGATGTTTATTTATCTCAAGACTTTTTATTAGTAGGTATTTGAAGAGTTGTCAAAATATAGTTTGACATAAATTCACTTTCAGAATTTCAATTTTTTGGTAACGGTAATGTAAAATCGATAAGGCAGGCATTAAACCAGGATTCTATGATTAAATTAAAGTGAGCTCGTGTTATCGATTGGATGGGAATAACTCAGACCCAAAAGTACATAAAAAAGGCAGGCACCTGTCTAATTGTTTGTAATGCCTTATAAATTAACTATACATATATTTAAGTGATAAATGTTTTTTGTCATTGACTTCACAATGATTGAGGTAAATAACCCAGGCTGTTCATGCAATTTCGAGCGCATTTAAGTGGTGGTTCTCAAAAATTGGTCTTTAATGCTTGACCACGAGCTGACATTTTCGATCAAGGTCTTTCGGCCATTGGGTACTACAATACTCTACTAATAATAGCTGTACAAATCGAACAGGAACGAGTAAAAAAAATGATCGTACTTAGCAGGGAGTAAGTAAGTAATTGCTGCAAAAAAAATGTTACTTCGGCTGCCGCGTACACGTTTTCACGCATGATTGCGGCAGTATCTGTGTATGCGATATCGTAAACTATTTGACCTTTCAGTATATTTATATACATTTGCGTGTACTTGTATATACATAATATGTAAGGCTGTAGGAAGACGGAGGTATTATTAGAGGTCTTGCCCGATTTTATTAGCATTTATTATTGAAAGTGCATATCATAAAACATTTCTTAACCGTTGTATTCTAGCAAATGATAAATAATGCGCATAGTTGTCTTTATTGCAATTGCATTATTGACTGCAACATACAGGGTGTCCTGTCCCAGTTTTCCTACTAATTACTATTTCAGTGAGTCGTACGCTTTCACGGCCGGTGTCCAACTGATGATGAACTGAAACTGAATGGTTCATGTGAGATCTTTCAGGCTCTGTTCCATCTTCCCTGTTAAGATTATCCAGATAATTCGCTTCAGCAGAAAATTCCTGGAAAGATGGACACATGATCTCCTTCGAAGAAACGTAAGTGTTAGTACGCATGTTAGACTACGACAATTTAGGTAGGAGAGAAGCCTTAGAAATTGCGCAATATTCGGATAATCTTAACAAGGAAGATGGATTAAAGATAAACAGAGCCTGGAAACAACTGCTAAGAAACAAACAAACGGGGGTGCAACCTACTGGAACGAAATATAACGATAATGCGATACCAGCCAACCGTGACCGCGAGATTAATACAAAAGCACGCTTAAGGTCCCACATGAACCATTCAATTTCCGATCATACGCACTGAAGATGTCATCTGTCAAGCACGACGAAACGTCTGCAATTAGAATTCGACCACGGCAAAAAACCCAGAAGCTCTTCATCATCAATTATTATTTGTCTATTGTTTTGAGATTTCTCTAAAACTAGAGCAGCCTAAGTCGCTACTATATCTACTAGTAATCTATTCTAGATCTACATCTGCCGCATCCATTTCATGTATCCGCATTCGATTTGTCGCCAACTAGCCCTTCCTGCCTGAAAAGGTGCCCTAGCAACCTATCCCGCCTATTTCTTATTAACTTATAAGTAATCTGTACTCGGTATTTCTTTATTTCTAGCCTTTTCTGTCTACATCATATTTAATATGCTCCTGTATCGAAATAGATTTTTGCATGTTACCGTATCAAATTATCTACTTCCTAATGCAGTATAACGGCAAATACAGACTATAATTTCCATTTAATAACTCAAACTGCGTAAGCATTATATGTTAGATAGTTCAATATCATAACAGTAATATTATTTACTTCGTAATAAATCAGTTACTTCATAATATCAGTCATTACTACTTGATATTTTTGCATTTATTATTACTTAAACATACCTGTTTATTAGTTTATTGCTTTAATTTTAATATTCAATTCGCTAGTACATTCTCATAAATAATGTTAGTAGTATATTTTCTCAGTTTTATTATATTTCGATCATAACTTTACTTCTTGTTTCTTTTAGACTACACAGTTGAAATTAAAGACATCTTAAATCGGCAAAATAAAATGATATTTTAGAGGGCATCCCCATGGAGAACTACACTAAGGTTTTAATGGGATTTGTTTGTATATAAGAATATATTTATTTTTAATAGAAGGGCAAATTTTAGGGTTATTTAGGCAGTTTAAAGGCAAGGGGATATGTCGCAGAACACACAAATGAAGCAAAGCTTTATATAATTATATGTTAATGCTTCATCAGGTTAATTAGTGAATAGATAAATGTTCAAGGCAACAAAGAGTACCCTACAACATTTGATTTTAGTAATCATAACCTAACATAAGTTTGTAGTTATGGCTTGAACGCCAGTAATGTACGTTACAATCCTCTTCTCCTTTCTACATGTTATCATAATATGTTAATTGTAGACTTTGTCAGAGAAGACATTTTGACGTCAATACACTTTATTTTGAGTAAAACTCAATTTTTATAGAACAGTACGATTATAGTTGAATGTTGACTAGTGTTGAATTCGTTAATCGCTATCTGTTTAAAAGAAGCACTGAATATTTTTTTGATAAATCAAAGAGAAAGTTATAAAAAGGAACACCAATTCTCATTTTTATTAGAACAGATCAAACTGCACACCTTTTTACAAAAATTTATTGTATGTTCAAATTTATAAAGGTAGAATATTTACATTTAATCTGGTGTTTAATAAAACAAAGTCACCCCTTAAAACTTGGACCAGGTTAGAATATACTGATGATAAAAACGTATTGGTTGACTCAACTATCTACCAAAGCGGTCGAAAATTTTTTAAATTTCACTCAAAATTGAAAATAGTTTATATTTGTACTAAAAACTGATTGTTGCGTAATTATGTACAAAAATTACACATGCTGAACTCTTGTAGCTGAATATATTGATAGTCTTACTGGAAGAACGAATGTTTGGATGGTATCGGATTGGACTTGGAGAATCCAGTAGGCTGTCTATCATACTGATCAATTTGGGACGGTTGCGGCTGATAGGCTCGTTGAGGTTGGTAAGCCTGCTGGGGTTGCTGAGGTTGATAAGACCGTTGAGGTTGTTGAGGCTGATAGGTCTGTTGAGGCTGATAAGTCTGTTGAGGTTGTTGAGGCTCATAAGTTTGTTGAGGCCGCGGTTGTTGGTAATCGTTGCGTGCATATTGAACATTGGAGTTGGCGTTGGAAACTCTTTCCTTTTCATCTACTCCATCCCATCTTTTGTCATAATCCCTTTCCGGTTCCGCTGTAGCATATGCTTCCTTGAGAGCGGCGATTTGAAGATAACGTTCTTCCTGGACTTCCGGTGGTTCGGTGGGTACGCCGAATGAACTGATGACGGGAACGTGGAGGGGACCGTCCCAACGTCGGTAGGTGGGCGGGGGAGCGTCCCTTCTCGGAAACGGATCGGATTCTTGGAGATTCTGGGGGAATGAGTCGAGATCTTCTGGTGCAAAATGAGGTGGCTGCACTGGACGCCTTGGCGGAGGTCCCAGACGGGGTGGTGACCCGAAACGAGGGTCATCTCCCTGCCCATTGATTGCCGAGACGATGACGAATAATAAACAAACCTGAAATAATAACTTAATGAGAAAAGAAACAAAAATAAAGTTTCTGTTGGATAGTAACAAAGACGGAAATAATTCGGTTAATTTTTAACTTAACTCAAATTAAAAAAAACATTACACGCATCGTTTTTTTTCATCAAAATAAAAAATTGTATCAAATTTCCCCAAATAGAATCCAGCGGTTTTTTAGAAGTCCATCCAAAACTATTAGATTAGGGTACTTTTTCATAATAATTAATTTAAATTTTAAATTGGCTCCCCTTTCATAGAAAAATCCTTATTACGCCTCTGTGGGTGCGTATAACAGTTACATATGGTAGTTTATAAATATTGAATAAGTTTGCCTAGACGTCCGTTTCAATAAATATTTAAACGAGTTTACTTTACGATTAGCAAAATATTACATTTGAATGTGCTCCTTAAAAACAGTAATTGAAACATTAAGAATATTAATTACTCGCCATAAGGAAATCACGTGTTATCGAATAATGTCAGTTTAATCTAGATGAATATGTTTCAGGATCAATCGCTTAAAAACCCAACCACCTTGACCAGAAGCGATACATTAACATGAAAAATTAAGAGGACCGCGTCGCGTCCGGTTGGAATTAATTAAAAGAAAATTGAAAAAGTAACGATCCCAACTTACCACTCGTTTCATTTTGCACTCAGACTTAGTACGTTCTACAGCCACAAAGTAACTAGTCAACTAACGATGGCCTTACTTATAGATTTTTCAAATGCTGCCACATTCCGCGGGCAAGGTTCCCTTCACTCTGAGATAACGTTAGCTTACTAGCAGACACACGTATCTGATAACTTTCGAATAATGTCGGGTGTTATTACCAAAAATCGAAAACAATTAAGGATTTAAAACATTCGACCTCTCATACGTATTAAACGCATTTCCAATGCCGGATCTGCGTACAATATGTAGAAGGAAGCAGAGGGAAAGGGAGTCCAAATGCAAAGCGTTCAACTTACGCCACATGCACAAACAGTTTGATATGAAAATATAAAGCCGTAACAGTTTTATTAAAGCAGATCAACAATAGAAAATACTTATGTCAATATTAATGGCGGGTTATATAGGTGTGTGTGTGTTGCGCGAAAGGGCACATTGGTGACTGGCAAAGTAATTTATGGATTTGATCACAGTATGAATATTGTATATATTATTATTATCAGGGCTGGGCGATTATTAAATTTAACTATCGATCATTAATTGCAAGAAACATCGGACGAATCTATTAACCGGAATATTCTGTTATTTGGATTACCTAATCGAATAGTAATCGTTATGGAAATAATCATTTGAAGTTAACATGTTTTATGGTTGAGGTTTATTTGAAAGCAAACATAAAACTGTTCTAGAATTACAGGAACAACCTTGTTTTCAGTTTTTATTTTGATGAAGTATCTTCATCATAAGGTCGTCATTCCTAAGACTGGTTGGACACGCACCTCCACTCTCTCCTATCCTGAGCTCAACCTCGCATTTCCCTAAAACTAGAACAGCCCACATCCTTAACTATTTGCGAACAGTAATCTAATCTAGGTTTACCTCTACCCCTCGTAACTCCCGTTTCTGCCTCTAATATGTCTCTGACTAGACTTTCATGCCTGAGAAGGTTTCCTAACAACCTACTGTTGCGCTGTTTTTTATGTTAATAAAAAGAAATAAACATTTTCATAAAAGGTTTGTTGTCAAACTCATTCAGAATAGTGAGAAATCATAAATCAAAAAATTGCGAAAAGTTCAGCATAGAATGTGCACCATCAGAAAACTAAAATGGGTCCTACCAACATCGCATCCTAAAATAAAAATCACATTTTGAAGAAACTAATGATAGCAGATAAACATCAACTGCAGTTGTGTTATAACTTTTTGAGGAGATGTTTGATTATTGTCGACACAAGGTGTCATCCTCTTGCTTTCAAGCCTATTATTAATGACGCATTGATAATATCGATACTTAGCTCTCCCTGCTTTTTATTCTAGATGGTGAACACCAAAATTATTTCACTAGTTGGTGAATGAGTAATTTGTAATTGATTTATGTAGCTCTTCTTAAGATTCAAGAGCAATTCAACACATTGACGTTGTGTACATGTAGTTAAATTATAAACAATCATTTTATGATAGATATACAACAAAGTTAAAAAGTAATTTGTTATTTAAATTGTTTAGAAAGTGAATGCTTTTGAAATACATTAGACCAACATCTTAAAATATTAATTTCATTTAGTTCATATCATTTTAATCTAAAGAAAATTTTCTTTTTTTCGAAACTGGCCTATAGATATCTTTTTCGCCTTGACTTTGTCAATAGAGACTACTAATTGCTAGCACACAAAAGCATCTGTAATGATGTAGGTATCGATTAGATCAGTTAAGAGCAGATAAATTAATTTATTATTAATAGCTACTTATGTCTGACCTTGCACCAAAACATTGTTTCTTGCCTGACACAAAAGCGAAACTTAGAATGTAATAATAAGACTTCTGCTTTAAAAATGAAATGAAGTTATGTAGATTACTTCTGGAGAAATCGTTTTCTGAAATTTTAACTGGTAGTTTTCAATTATTTTTGAAATTATTTATTGTTTTTATTTTTAAATAAAAAGTATTTGTAATTAATCTTCAAAGTTCTGACAGTTAAGTCTCAAATTAATGGGTTTTTCCATGCTGGCAGTCAAAAATGATAAAGCAATGTTTGATATTGGACGTTTCGTTTTGTTTAACCGTCATCAAACCCTTTAAAGTTTTGGCGCTCGTATGTGTTTATTGTTACATTCCTCGATATATTCTCCTGATGATTGTTAAATAAAGCGAAACGTCATGTATAAAACATTAGTTTATCACTTTTAACGGTTAAAGACTTCGGAATAAATGTAAGTGTTCGAGTGTAAGAGTCCCTATTGGGCAATATTCTACTGCTAATTACTATCAGTGCAGAATATCACTAGAGTGGAGAAGACTTCTTGTTTTTTTTTGGCTAGCACACTTATCTCCGATCTGTCAAAGTAAACACATTGCACACATTTCTATTTCGTTCGTGGATTGGACGAATCTTGATTTATTCTACTGTTCCCCTTTATCGGTCGTTTAGTTTCTTCGGTCCATTAATTAGCCGAAGGACGTTGGCCTCAGATGAATCGATTATATATATGTACTAGTCTGATTGTGAATCTCCGAATCCCCGAAAGCGAAAGCCGGTCGTTTTCAATGTTTACCAACTACTGAATTTAGCAATTCAAAAGATCCATTTCGATGGCACGATGTTGAAAATTAATTTGTCCACGATGATAGCAAAAATAAACGATATATTTTATATTCGGTACACGTTTCATTATCAATAAGAATTTCGAAACTGTTCCATTGTGAAAACTGTAGTGGAATTAAATTTTTATTAGAAAAATCATTATTGTATTTGTAAGTGTCAAATTAATGATCGTTTACAGTATCAAATTCTGAAATGCTCGATGTTTAGGGAGTTTCTAATTCGCCCTGAAGTAGCTCCATTTTTAGAGGTTACTTTCATCATCATGAGGTCGTCAGTCCTAAGACTGGTTGAATACGCACTTCCACTCCTTCCTATCCTGAGCTAATCTTCGCATTTCCCTAAAACTAGAACACCTAATCTAATCTAGGTCTACCTCTACTCCTCTTAACTCCCGTCTCTGCCTCTAATATGTCTCTGACTAGACCTTCATGTCTGAGAAGATGACCTACTAACCTAAGTCGCCTATTTTTTATTGACTTCCATAAAGTCATCTGTTCTCATATTCTTTCTAATATCTCTTCATTTCTAACCGTTTCTGTCCACGGTATCCTCATCATTCGCCTGTAACACCACATTTGGAACGCTTGTAACCTCTTCTGTTCATATTTCACTCCCGTACAACGCCGCGTTCCAAACATTAAATTTTCCAATTTCCCTACTTGCCTCATTGTCCTAACATTCCACGCTCTGACTCGTGAAATATTGCACCTATTCCTATTGCACTTATTGATGACATTTCCCGAGGTAGCCCCCACCCTGACATCCGAATAGGGGACTAGTTTACGTCCGGAGTGCTTTACCCCAGAGGACGTCAACATTTTAATTTTGGTGTGTTTTACTTGGGATATCATAATGTGATGATTTCCCGTTGCCTTCTACATCGCAGTATTGTGCATCAGAGTGCTTTACCGATATCCTCGTGTTTTGTGCCACCCTGAGTACTGAAAGAGCTGCTGCCCTCTTTCAGGGACTTGTCTTAGTCTGCTTGCTCTTTAAGAACCTTCCCCCCCATTTTGGTTGAACCTAGAGGTTACATTATGGAAACATTTTTTTTTTACATTTTTTGTGTAATGTTAGTAGCACTGTTTGTCTGTCGTATCAAGACGCTTTGTTCTTTAACATTATGTTGATTAAGTGTAAGAACTTTGAAACCACACTCATGATTAAATATTAGTTCATTATACGTGCTAATTTCTTGTTTAAAAATATTCGCTAAAGCCGATATTTCGTTGTAAATGTGTTCGTTATATCCAAATATGAATATCACTGGGTTAAATGTAATGTAAATTTGTTCTCTTTCAATCAATTTATCAGCAAAATGAAATAATTTAATTGTACCGACGATTCACATCTGCTTACTGTAAAAATACGTAATTTCTTATTGCTTCCAATCTGATTCTTCATTTCTCTATAATACTGGATGATGTTACGAAGCTCGTCTTTGTAAATCGAAGTGTCTAGCAATTCAATTATGTGGATATCGGGAGCGTTCTGGGTCACCTCATCAGCATACAACAGAAGCGGATTGTCTGTCTATTATTATGTCGCGGCGATTTGAAGTGGATGGATGCTCTTTGCGACCGCCTCCGCCGTTACTGCCGCCGACGACCGCTCGTCCGCCCGCCTGCCGGCTCATTAACTCGAATCGAGTATGAATGATAAACGGCGACAATGGATTGACAACAAATCGAATCGGGCGAATTTACGAGAACACCGAGCACTATCGCTCACGGTTCATTTGACACGAAAATTAACAGGCGTCCATAATCCACTACGGATATAATGAACGGAAGAACGGAGGGTGACTTATTGAAGCAAGGGAAACTTTTCTGTTAACGTTGCCGTTTTTTTTTTTTTGCTGTCTGAGCTTCTTTTCGTGACATTTGTATGAAGAAGATATGTCTGACATCGTCTGCTTTGTTGATAAATTTTGAAAATTGTACCTCTATAAGGCCGCTTCCACACAGTGCGATAACGACGCGGTTTACTGCACGCGATTTAGCGTATCGCAACGGAACGCCGCGCCGCTTTCACGTTACCTAACCCTGCTTTCACACATACGGTTTTTTGCCGTGACCGTGCACGGCAACGGTGCCGTGTATAATAGAAATACATTGGTTTATATGCAAGCTTTCACACAACACGGTTTGCTGCCGGAGCCGTACACGCCTGTCGTCGCAGCACCAGCACGCCGTAGCCGTGCACGGCAACACTGACACAAGCAAGTGTATAGAAGTATTCACACGTGCCGTGTGTTCACACGGCAAAAATTGTTTTCAGGATCGTTTTTCGCTCTGAATTGTACAGTTAACAGAAGAAATTATACAGTGTGGCGTATAATAACACCGCTATATTTAATTTAAAACATATATTTGACTAAACATTATATTACACCCTTTTGTAAATATTTCTACTCGAATTCTTTTGTATCTGTCTTTCTATTATTGTAATTCTCTGTGAAAAGTATTTGGAACAGTGTATTCAAATTGTTTTGTATTCAATTCTATCGCTATCAATAAATTTTATTACTTCTACTTTCCAGTAATCCCTATTAATATTTCAGCTTCGCGTACTAACTTCTTGCAATTTTACGCATAA